CATTTGGGAAGAATTTATTGGGCTATTTAAAAGTAATTAAAAGTTTGTAGGCCTGTTGATATGATATTATAAACATGTGTTCTGGACTCAAAGAAAATAGCCACAGGGTTAGAACCATGTAAAGACACCACTGGAACCATTCTTACACACTTCATTAGTGTGACCCTCAATTCACCTTCTGAACAAACAAAATGCAAAAAATTGTGAAATATCATCTGACCTGATTTTTGAGGCCTAACTGTTGAATTTGCCCACAAGTGGACAGAACCTGTTACAATGCAGGCTGTGTGTACACTGTAGATATGGGTATAGAATAGTGAAACCTGATGAAGCATCTGGACTGGCTGCTCGGTCCATCTGCTGCTCTGACCTGCCCTCATACACACGCCCACACACTCACACACACACACACACACACACACACACACACACACACACACACACACACACACACACACACACACACACACACACACACACACACACACATGCACACACACACACATGCACACACACGCACGCAAGCACAGGAACACACACATCCCAGGACACTCTATACAGACCTAAATCTCCAGACTGGGCCTATACACAACAGATTGACCGATCAATACAGAGATTCTTGCAGAGATTTCAAACTGTGCTTAAGCAACAGTGAAACAATAACGCTTTTATTGCAGTGTTTTGTTTTTGGTTTGTTTTGTTTTTATTATTGTCACAGTTGAAGCCTAATTGAATTGGATGAGAAATATACTAGTAGTTTCTGAAATACAAATTTATTATAGGATGTTTTATTGTAATTTATAGTGTAATCAAAGCAAAAACATACTGTAAAACTCAAGTACTCGAGTTTATAAGTTTCATAACCTTGCCATAGAAAATGTATAAAATAAAAACTTTTTCTCAAGTAAATGTTCCTTCTAATTTTATTTTATTTTTTTAAATTGATGACTCAATAATGTCTCCCCTTAAATAAGAACAAAACCATAATTAACCATATAACGCAATACTGTGCATGTAAATATTCCAGTGAATATGTATCTGCTGAGGGTCACATGTACGAGTCCAAGGTCTGGATAGCCATGACCTCAGCGTGACCCCAGAGTGACCACAGAGTGACTCCAGTGTGACCCCAGCAGCTGTTAACATCGCAGGGCTGCTCTGACAGGCTCTGGGCGAACAGTGCTGAGCTTTCACATGGGAACCATCAGCCCTTGACCTTCATCATCTGTCAGTGCAATTTGCCTCAGATCTTTTTTCACTCATAAGACCTCCACTCACATTCACAGCAGGGGCAGCAGGGTGGCACAAAAACAATCACTGGAGTTGAATAATATAGACATGTCTTTAATTTGCTTTGTTCATTTTGGTTAACACTGATTGAAACTTTATGTAACCTGTATATTTAATTTTACATGAGAGTTTACAGTACACTAATTTTAACTGTGTACATAAGTCTTGTGTAGCTCCAATCTTGATGACACTTTCAAATATCAAAATCAAACACAGTGTTTTAAAAATGTGTATAATATTGATAGCAAAGGAAAATTTTATTCTGTCAACTGGACAAAACACAATAATGAATACATTACGGCACTCATCCAACCATGAATGATATATACATATACTTAGAAAAACACTGACAATTATTGCTTAAATTTAATCTAAATTAAATAGTTTCTTTTATCTGGGTAATAACTTCCTCCCTCCGCCCAAAGCATACATATGCAGAAAAAGTGAGCTAAAAAAAAAAAGAAAGAAATAAGTTTTCCTGCCTTGATAACGTGTGATTATGAATATAAGCCATTGTAAAATACACTTCATCTATAATATCCCTTCATTATTCCAAGTCTAATGCCAGTTCCAGTCCACAGCGGTGCCAGTGCATATTGTCGATAAACAGAGCACGGAGACCACTCAGCCCAGGAGCAGACGGACCTGACCCAGCCTCTGTGTGTTCTGTCAATAGTGCGAACTGGAGGGGCTGTGTCTCCCTGTGTGCTTGGCCAGATGTGCTCTCTGAACCTCTCCATTGATTATTATAGGTTAAAGTGGGTCTTATGGTCTCTTTGACTCTGCTTTGGCTCAGCATCTCAGACAACTGGCACCGGCAGTCATCACAGACATTTTAGCCCGTTTTTCTGCTTGTTTTTGTTCTCCTAATAATACTGCTTAATGTGTGGTATGTTGATGAATGATTTTATAGAAATTTAATAAGGTATCATGTGGGGTGGAGAATATGAACAGTCCAAAATAGAGACTGTAATGAATAGATAATGAAATTAAGGCAAACTTATGCAGATAATGAGATTCAGATGAGTAAACGTATAACCTATATGCTTTATATTAACCTAATATGAATCAGTTATATTCCAATTCATCTATATGAATAATTAAAAATGGATAATGATTTGTAGCGTATATTGCTTCCCTTAACTGGACTCTGGGTGACCCCTAGTGGAGTAAGAAGGAAGTAGGAACATTACAGCACCGGGTCTCTGCTCTGAATACATGAGTTTTCTGAGAATGATATCTCCCAAGTGTGATCGCGCCAATGTTGTTCCTCCTCTCTCCTAGTGTAAAAACACCAATTATAACTAAATCAACTATAGGCTTAATATAGGCCTGGTCCGTCCAACAACATGGACTAACACTTGGGACTCGACTTGGACTTGACGGTTAATAAAATGACACTTGACTTGGACTTGAGGCCTGCGACTTGAGAAGACTTGAGAAGCACTTTTAAATCTGAATTCTTTCTATTCTGACCTTAATGATTCACTTTAAGATCTTGTCAGAACATTTATAAAGGAAAAAAATCGAATTTCTACTTACATACTATAAATACTCATATATAAATATACTGTGACTTTATAAGCACAATTTATCTTAAGTCATATAAATAGCAAAATTTGAAGTTATAATTTGGTTTAAAGACTTGAAATGACCTTAAGCTCAAAGCAGATGACTTGGACTTGACTTGGATTTGCCATACATAACATACATACATACATGCAAAACATACATACATACATGCATAACATACATACATATATACGTACATACATACATACATACATACATACATGCATACCAGGATGTGTGAGCTAATCAAAGGGAATCGCGCTTTTTGAGAAGTTGTTGTATATTTTAATTAACCCTGTAATGCCTGACCCCAGAAATAATGGACAGAAAATTCAGATTTTTTTAATCTGGAAGGTTTATGGGGCCTTTTCACAAAAAAAAAAAAAAATTACAAAAAATGATTTGCATATTGGTTTTTCCATTTGTATCGTAAATGATACATCGGGCATTACATGTATCTGGCAATACAGAAAAAACATAATCTTCTTTGGGTCTCTTTCTTCTTTACTCTTTTATTATGAACAGTGGTAAGCATGAAAACAGCAGCTAAGGCTTTAAAGAATATTGGCCTCTTATTTTTTCATACTGATTCCTTTTTCAGTAACTTTTTCTTGTATTATATAATATTGAATATATAATATAATATAACAAGAATATTGGCCTCTTATTTTTTTAAACTGCTACTGCTAAACTCACACCTTTCTTCAATACCTTCAACTGCACTCTCAACAAATGGAACATCTAGAGCAGACATGTCAAACTCAGGCCCAGGGGCCAAATTTGGCCCACGATATAATTACATTTGGCCCGAGAGATCATATCAAATATGTAGCTGGCCTGCTGGCTACAAATAGGCTATAGAGACATTATTTATGTAAAATGTTGTTATTATTTTATATTATACTTGTTCTGGATTCAATTTTAGGCAAAACTATTATTAAACATTTAATTTAATAAGAAAAGGTTTATCTTTACAGATCTCGAAAGAAGAGAAAACATGCAGATGCTGTTGAAAATTTGTCCAAAAAATATTTAGTTTGGCCCAGAACTTAGTCCCAGTTTTTAATTTTGGCCTCTGTGAATTTGAGTTTGACACCCCTGATCTGGAGGGTCAAATTCTGCCTTTCTCCACTTGTACTCCTTCATTTTCACTTTTTTCTTTGCAGATTTATGTGTTCTTTATGGCCTGTGTTACTGTTAGACCTCCTTCTTCTGTGCTAATCTGGTCATCACTGTTATCAAAGTCAGCCTCTGTATGTGTCTTTCCCTTCATTTCTCTTTTCACTTTGCTTCTACCACACTGTTTTGTTGCCTGTGACATAGTAAGATCTTCGTCTTCAAGCCCATTATCAAGGGTTTTATCGTCCTCATTGCTACTACCAGTACTAGAGTTCTCTTCATCATAATCTGTATTAGGGGTCCAATTTTTATCCAACACTTCATCATCTGCAAACATCAACTCCTCTATATCGCTTGAATTGCCATCAGTGACCCACAGAACATCGTCACTGTACCGTTTAGCCATCTAAAGTAAGAAATATAGATTTATCAATTTTCGAATGCAATTATTTGTTGTAAATATAACATTTCAATCTGCAATTTGTGTAATTGATTGATAAAAATATTTTTAAGATACACAATCATCAATATAATGCATATTGCACCAAGAAAAGCAAGATAAGGACAACTGAAGAATTTACTACCAAATTCCACTTTTTACCTGTAGTATCAAATTTGAACACACATTTTATACACAATTTTACTACATACTAAAATGCAAAAAAATATGTAATCATAACTTGCTTCAACAGATTAAGTGTTCATGTTGAAATATTACTAAAAATTTCAAAGAAAATGTCACTGGAAAATTGTAAAAATCACAATTTTCTTTACCTTGATCCAGTGATTTGGGAACTGTCTAAAGGTAGCCATCTTGGATTGTCCCATGTACTGTTTTAATTGTTGTAGTGATAAAGGTATCCACCAGGGGGTTAAAGACAAGTGCCAGATTGGATACAATAGGCTTTTGAGTGAAGTTTTTACCATATGGTGATGCAATAGGTCTCAGAAATGCTTGTATCAAATTTGACGCATTTGGCATTATAGGGTTAAGCATGAATACCGGACTAACGGTGATTAAAACGTGTGTAGGATAAGATGTTGTTTTGCTCTTCGCCCCGCCCACATTGAGACGTACCACTTCAGTCTCCAAGCAAACTTTGTCATATCTCATTTGACACACTGACACCACTACGACCAAACGACAGCTCAAGGTAAGTCTCGTAAATTGAATAGACCGATATGTATTGGTGAATTGTCTTGTACACTGAGTTCTTCAGGCTTCCCTTATAGCTAATAGTTTAAGGAGAGCACAGAAGAGGGCTACAACCAAAGAAAGAAAAAAGGAACACTGGCCATCTATGGCCACAACACGCTTAAACTATCGTGGGTTTACACTTTTTTTTTAGCATGTTATACTATGAGCACGGTTTTTAGATCACACTACTCTAAAATGTGTATTATTTTGCTTTTAATAGAAGTCATCTGCGTCTGAGTCAGACAGAGGTTTACTGGAAGGCCGCACCTTTTATTGTAGACTGGTAGACAAGGCTTTCACAACATTTACTAAAGTTACCTAGATTGAGCAACATTTGGAGTGACACTGGCTTGGGATATAGTTATACTTAGAGAGAAAAAGAAGAAATTACTTCAACACAGTAGCTCACACGTCATATTATATTATAATAACAAAGAGAAAAAATATAAATGGTAATTATAAATTCAAAATAAGTAGCAAAGATATCAAGAGACTGGTGCCAAATAAGACATAATTATATAACCGTATATGTACAATTAAAAATTAAATACAAAAATTTTAATAAAAATATCTCAGCTGTTTAAAAGAGGTCACAAGCAAAACCATTTCAAAAATTATATTGATGATTGACAAGACATAGGGTTATCTGTTACATAAAGGTGAGTAGTTGGTGTACGGTTGTACAGCGTATGGTATGAATGTAGTCCTGTCTTACCTTTTAAGCAGAGCTGTAGGAGCCTGTTGGAGAATGAGAGAGAATAGAATAAGAGATAGTAGAATAGGCTGTTTTGTTTGTTTGTTTGTTCGTTGTTTTTTTATATGGAGACAGTTTTTAATTTCAAAACGTTTTGTAGTGTTGGATTTGAAGTGGCCCAACATGGAAGAGGACGTAGAGGCAACAGACGATTCCAGCCCCCCAAAGAGGTAAGTTGTATGTCTGTGCGCTGAGCTGTTTAAATGGGGAAAAAACAATAGATGCTGAGTTGATATTAGTTTAGTTAGTGTAGGAATCTGCTTGAAATAATCAGAATGAACCTGCTGGTTAGACTTAGACTTTGAAGACTTTCTTTGTCTGTCATTTCTTAGAGCTCAGTTCTGCCCAGCTTTGCATATTGTTAGCAGTTTTTATTATGTAAAATTAACTTTTACCATTTTAGTGTCCCCTCATCATAAACATACTCTCAGTTGTATTTTCAATTTTGTATCTGTGCATGTTTGAGTAGTCTTGTATTATCTTAAATTTGAGGTGTGAGACCTCCAAATGTCTAAATGTAATTTACAAACGTTTTCATGCAGTGAGATAAAGACGGGCCCCGAGTCCAGCTGTGCATCCTGTAGCGATGAATCCATGAATCTCCCAATGACTTTTAAAAACATTCCGGCCAAATCGTTGGAAAAACAGTGGTGAGTGTTGTTGTGATATGATAAGATATGATAATTAATGGTTCTTGTAAGGAAGGATCAACAAGGATGACCTGGCTCATTATAAATACTTGACATGCAGATAATGTCCAAATGAAGTAAAACATGTATATGTAAACAATGCTAGAAGCTTTGACCTCAAGTATGTAAATATCTAGTTTAATCTGCCCTGCACCTGCTGCTAAGACTGTCACAATAACATTTTTTTAAGTGTGATATATTACTGACGAAAATACAGATGGTAAACGATAATATTGAAATTACTTTATGCCATTGACACAAAACCCACACAAAAGCAGATTTAAACCACAATAAAAACCTAACAGTAGAACAAAACACTTCAGTACTTGCATCTGCAATGAGTCATAATAATTCAACTGTTTACAGCTCAACCACAAATGTCTCAGTAGTGCAAAGAATGTAAATGTAAACACAGTACATTTTTATCCCAAAAAATATTGTTCCAGCTTTCGCATATTGAATGATAAGTCGATATAGTAATTATCATGACAGGCCTAATGGCTGCGTGCTGAGTAAAGCCTTTTAAACAGATTTTGAAAGATGAGTTTGTTGTACAGTGAGCTGTAATTACGCACACAGTTTGAGGCTGATGTTTATTGCTCAGCACTGGAAATCCCGTGCAGTTGGAAAATATTAGTTGTTTTTAGAATGTTCCATCTTTGTTTGTCTAGTTGTACTTCTTTTCAACAGTGAACCTGACTGCTTGTCTTTGAAGAGTAATGAATCCATGAATGCACGAATGACATTTAAAAAGGAGGACAATAAATCTGAGCCATTTGTTGTCATCAAAGAGTCAAACCTGTGTGATGATGTGGACTCTGTTTTTACAGTGAGCACATAGTCATTCATTACACAGCACTATACGATTGTTCAACTTCATTTCACCTGTAAATGTTTCCTGTGGCAGGCACTAGAGAACAGCATTATGGATTTGGTTAAAACTGAGTTGAAGAAGATTAAAAATATTGCCACATGTGACTCCCCAGAATATTTTGGAAATATAAAAGAGGAAGATGAGAACAGCAAAGCATTTTTAAAAATAGCACTTAATCTTTTAAGACAACTAAAACAAGAAAAGCTGGCTGACCATTTACAAAAAGGTAAATATTTCTGAACTAACAATGATAATCTGGTGATGACTGTTTGTTAATAATGTTTGTAATACATCTGTAATAATGATAATGTATTTGTAATAATAGTTTATGCAGAGACACCTGCAGAAATCTGTCAGCGCAAACTAAAGTCAAAGCTGCAACAAAGATTTGAGTGTGTCTTTGAGGGCATCGCTAGAGCTGGAAACCGAACACTTCTGAACCAGATCTACACAGAGCTGTACATCACTGAGGGAGAGGTCACTGAGGTCAACGAGCAGCATGAGATCAGACAAATTGAAGCTGGACTCAGGAAATCAAATCTACAAGAGAAAACTATCACATGTGAAGACATTTTCAAAGGATTGGTTGACAGAAATGAACCTGTCAGAACTGTGCTGACCAAAGGAGTGGCTGGCATTGGGAAAACAGTGCTCACACAGAAGTTCAGTCTGGACTGGGCTGAAGGCAAAGCCAACCAGGAGATAGAGTTTATATTTCCATTTACATTCAGAGAACTCAACATAGTCAAAGACAAGGAGTTCAGCTTGGTGGAACTGATCCATCATTTCTTTGATGAAACTAAAGAAGCAGATGTTCTGAGCAGTTTAGAGGACTTCCAAGTCGTGTTCATCTTTGATGGTCTGGACGAGTGTCGTCTTCCTCTGGACTTCAGTAAGAACAGGAGTGTGTCTGAAGCAACACAGCCCACAATACTTGACGTCCTGTTGACAAACCTCATCAAAGGGGATCTACTCCCTTCTGCCTGTGTCTGGATCACCACACGACCTGCAGCGGCCAATCAGATTCCTGCTGAATACATCGACATGGTAACAGAGATCAGAGGCTTCAGTGACCCTCAGAAGGAGCAGTACTTTAAGAAGAGGTTCAAAGATAAGAAGAAAGCCTTTCAGATTATCTCCCACATAAAGAAGTCCCGCACCCTTCACATCATGTGCCACATCCCGATCTTCTGCTGGATCGCAGCCACAGTCCTGGAGTATATGCTGAGGACCAGTGAGGGCCAAGAGCTGCCCAGGACTCTGACTGACATGTACATACACTTTCTGGTGGTCCAGGTCAAAGTCAAGAAGGACAAGTATCATGAGACCAGCGACTTCCACTGGAACCAGGAGACCATCCAGATGATCCAGGCTTTGGGAAAACTGGCCTTTGAGCAGCTGCTGAAGGGAAACCTGATTTTCTACGAGTCTGACCTGAATGAGTGTGGCATTGACATGAAGGCAGCCTCCACCTACTCGGGGGTCTTCACCCAGATCTTCAAAGAGGAGAGAGGCCTGTACCAGGAGAAAGTCTTCTGCTTCATTCATTTAAGCATTCAGGAGTTTCTGGCTGCTCTTCATGTCCATGTGACCTTCACTAAGACTGGACTCAACCTGCTGTCATCAGAGCGTAGTACAGAGGCTGAGCTGTACCAGTCTGCTGTGGACACAGCCTTACAGAGTGCAAATGGACACTTTGACCTATTCCTCCGCTTCCTCATGGGCCTGTCTTTGTCCAGCAATCAGAGTCTACTACAGGGTCTGATTTCTCCTAAAGGCAGCAGCACAGAGACAAGTCAGAAAACAGCAGAGTACATCAAGCAGCTGATAAATGAGAGTGTCTCTGTGGAAAGAAGCATCAACCTGTTCCACTGTCTGAATGAACTGAAGGAGCACTCTCTGCTGCAGCAGATTCAGGCCTATGTGAGCTCAGGGGCGCTGGGCTCTCTGACCCTGACCCCAGTGCAGTGGTGTGCTCTGGTTTTCATCTTACTATCCTCTGAACAAGATCTGGAGTTGTTTGAGCTGCACAAGTACTCTGCTTCACAGGAAGCTCTGTTCAGACTGCTACCTGTTATCAAAATGTCCCGCAAAGCTGTGTGAGTAACTATTTTAACTGGTTTACTTTAATGTCACTATTGATTTTCATGAAGCCGTTGTTGTTTTCTGTTGCAGCCTGAGCATCTGTAACTTAACAGAGAAAAGTTGTCAAGCTTTGGCCACCATTCTTAGCTCCCAGTCATCCAATCTCAGAGAGCTGGACCTAAGCAACAATGACCTCAAGGATGAGGGAGCCACTCTTCTGTCTGTGGGACTGGCCAGTCCACACTGCAGACTGGAGACTCTCAGGTCAGGAACCAATTTAATTGATCTGTTTCTATTAAGTGGACGTTCATGATTATTGTATCATATATGTTAAAGCACTATAGATTGTTTGATTGTTTTTTTTCCCAGGTTATCTGGGTGTCTTTTGACAGATGAAGGAGGTTGTTCACTCGGCTCAGCTTTGATTCTGAACCCTTCTCATCTGAGAACATTGGATTTGAGCTACAACAATATAGGAGAGGCAGGATTGAAAACAGTGGCTGCTGCTTTAGAGGATCCACAGTGGAGTCTAAGCACTGTTAGGTATGAATCAGTGCCAAATAAATTGAGAATGTAAAACATCTTTAACATTAACACATGTCCATGTTTTAGGGTGAATCCACCCGGAGCCCAATTCTTAACACCTGGTCTTAAAAAATGTAAGTATTTGCTGGCCCTTATTAAAGAGACGTATTTTATTTTAAAAGGTTAGTCAAATAAATTTTATTTTTTAGACACTTTTGATGTGTCGTATGATGAAAACACAGCCCACCGCAATCTCCGAATCTCAGAAGACAAAAAGACCGTGACTCGTGTTCAAGATAAGCAGCCATTTCCAAATCACCCCGACCGGTTTGTCAGCTGGCCCCAGGTGTTGTGCTGTACTAGTCTGACAGGGCGCGCTTACTGGGAAGTGGAGTGGAGGGGCAAAGTAGATGTAGCAGTGACTTATAGTGGCATTAAGAAGAGGGGGGACAGTGGAGATGGTTTGTTTGGAGAGAACAGTCTGTCTTGGACCCTGAGATGCACTGATGGACAATACTCAGTTTGTCATAACCAACAAAGACACTTCCTGTCTCAAGTTTCCTCAGGCTCTGGAAGGATAGGTATATTTGTGGATTATCCTGCTGGCTCACTCTCCTTTTACAATATTCTAACAGACAAACTAGTTCACATTTACACCTTCAGAACTACTTTCACTGATTCGCTGTTTCCTGGTTTTGCCTTCTGTCACGATGACTCCTTTGTCAGCTTGTTGTCTGAGGCATAAAGATTTTCAGAGGATCAGATTTTGAGTTTACAACAGGGGTGTCTGTAACAACAAACAATAACGTAAAAACAAAGATGTGAGACAGAGCTCCACCAAAACCAAAATGAAGGTGTGGGAGCACAGTTTAGTTTCTGCAAACGCTTCTTCTGAATGCCTGACTATATTGCTTGTTGTAGTCTTAAATTGAAGTAGCCCAAGAGATGGAAGACGAGGCTTGTGATAGTATTGTCCAGCAGTGCAATTTCTCAAATTTGATACATCTTGCACAGTGTATTTTAGGAACACCATATTACTGTGTTTTGTGTTGTGTGCTTTTAAACATTAAGTTATAAATTGCCACTTTATTCAAAAATAACAAGTAAAAAGGAAGCACTGAAGATAGAACGTTTATTTGTTCCACAATGGGGAAATTTATTGATTTATTATAATTTTTTTTTTGTAATGGTAATGGCAAACAATATATGCTTAAAACACTCTACGCCTATCTGTTTAAAATGGTTTGCATTGGTACTGTACTGTTGCACTTAGAGTACCAGAATTGGTACTGTATTTTTATTGTATTTACAAACATCTTTTCAATATTTTCTTCTATTGTTTTCTGTTATCATTATATATCTGTAATTATCTTGAATAATAAATTATATGAAATATGTCATCTATTTCAGTTAAACAATTTCTTATTTTTTGTCTTCATTAGTTATTTTCTAGTGTTTCATACCTACTTATTTAATATATTATTTTAATAGTTCATGGGTTATTTTAATAGATGCTGCTGTTGTAGTTTAAAAATCCGAACCTTTTGTGGCCAATGCATCCCTCTACAGGTGAGGAGTCGCTATGCAACTCTCATTCATACGGTTGTCGCTGGTTGATGACGCAATGTTAATGGCCGCTTTCGCTGTGCCGTGCGGGATATTTCATTTTCCTCGCCGTATGGGTTAAAATTCTTTGTGTTTTACACGCGGTGATCTTTTAATAGGATTCCCCGGGGGCAGAGGCAGTTGTTAACGCCAAAGTGCCGTGCTTAAAGATCTACGAGCGGGCAAGGTGATAAAAATGTGTCGATCGTAGCAGTTCAAAAGAGTGGTCGCGTCGTTAGCTTAGCTTCAGTTTAGGCTCCATTGTACATGGAAGTAAATTAATCGATTGTACCAGAGACTTCTTAAAAAACTGGAATCCTGGGAGTACTGTATTACTAAGCAGGCGTCTTTCTTATTTTTCCCTCGTTAATGTCCGAGGTTGAGTTCTGCTCGAAGCTCTGTTTCTTCGTTCAGGCCCTAGCATTAGCCGCATTAGCTGTCATGTCTCGTCACAGGTGAACTTATTCACTTGGCCGTGTTGTGTTGTGCTAAAGACACAAGTAGGTATATCACGAAACACTTATTTTTTACAGTTACTTTGATTACAGCTAGTTTATTTTAACGATCATGAGTACTCTTGAAAACTAGTGTGATCCATTCAATTGTATCAGAAGATAATACAGCTTTTAAATCTTAGATTTAGTTTACTCTGAAAAATCATTGATGTATTCGGTTCAAAATGCCAAACGTAGCTTTCAGATTATTTTTTTATAATTTCTTTCGACAACACTTCGAGTGTGCACTTGGCACTTAAGTAGTTTTATTAGTCAGTCACATTTATGCCTCAAAATCTTCAAGTTTTACATGTTATGTTAACTTATCTTTCATACTTATCTTATGTTAACACAATTAGAAATGCATAGCACAAGACATATTTGGCTCTTCAACCTTATTACACAGAAACTAACAGTACTTTTTTATTTTTGTTTTTCTACTATTTTCAGGTTGATACTGGGTCATGGATACTCCTGAGAGCCCAAGCCAATCCCCTCAGTCCCCCGAGGAGGAGGAGCAGGCCCTCTCCGACAGTGAGCTTCTGGGCTCTGTGGACGGTGATGCAAACCAGGCAATATCAGACAGTGAGATTGTCCACGAGGAGAATGATGCTGAAGATGAGGCAGACGAAAGTGGAGAACAAGAATCTGGAATAGCAGAGGATGGGCAGGAGAAAGATGAAGTGGTACCAGATTTTATCTCAGACCCAGAGGAGGAAGAGCCAAACAGAGACCTAGAACAAGTGGACAAGTCAATTGTTCTGATGGAGGAAGAGGAGGAGGAGGAGGAGGATGGGGAAGAAGTATCTAGTATTAAGGCAGAGGAAGAGGACAAAAGGGTGATTGATACTCCACTTTCTCCTGACTCTGAAGCTGACAGGGAGGATATCCAGGAGAAGGTATACAGCGAGGAAGAGGATGATGACAAAGGCAAACCTGATGAAGAAGAACCTGAGACAAGGAGGACATCGGTGGCTGTGCGGGAGATAAAGAACGATTCTCCTTCTGTGTCTCGAGAATTGGACGAGCATGAGCTGGACTATGACGAGGAGGTTCCAGAGGAGCCTAGTGTTCCTCCACCTGAAGAGGAGGAGGAAGAGGAGGCAAAGACTGAGGGAGAGGTGGAGACAGAGAGCAGCAAAAGGAGAGAGAAGAAGCCCATCCTTCCACCATCTCCCACAGACAACAGGAAGAATGAAGAGGGGAGAGCTCGTAGAGACTCATTTAGAGACAAGAGAAATGATGATGATGATGGGGAGATTGATGAAGGAGAAATTGATGTAAGTGGGATATGCAAATGAGAAAATAGTTTGAAAAGAGGGGACTCTCATTGTGGTACAAACAATTTCTTTTGAAAAACAAGGTCAAAACAAGGGCTTTACAATGTATCACAATCAAATTGAAATTGCAGTTTGAATGGTCTCAATTACATCAAATTGCAATTATTAATTTATTATTTGTCCACTGTAAACAACAAAATATTCTGAGATGTTATGCAAACTACTTACCCTGTAGTTAAGACCTTTACAAACATGTTCTGAATTGCTTGGGATTCTTGTAGTTTATATTTTAGTCTTCTCGCAAATAGTAATGCTCCTGGATGTGGTTAAATGTTAATTTAATAGGAAGCACAATATTTGTCAAAAATAATCAACTGTTTATTTTATTAGAATATTATTGTATATTATATTTTAACACTGTAAGATGTTATATTGCTCATTTGTTTGTAGGATGAGGATTTGGAGGAAGGGGAGGTCAAGGACCCCTCAGACAGGAAGATTCGACCGAGACCTATCTGTAGGTTCTTCATGAAAGGTAGGGTTTTATCAGTGATTCTGGCTGTGTTTAATATAACATAATGAACAAAATTAATTTCCTATGTGATAAATTGTTGTTGTCATTGTTGGTCATTGTGTTGTCCAAAGGATGTTATCAAAATAGCCATTTTGTGGATCCACAAGTTCAAATAACAATTATAGTTAGTAATCTGTCAAAAAAAGTATCTAAAGTGATATTTTTGTAGTTATTGGGAAAATGCCAAAAATATTTTTCATAATTGCCTGCCCCAACATAAGCTAAAGAAGAATGCAATTGTCTTGCACTGCTTTGAGTATTCTGCAGGAGGGGGACCTTTTTCTGTTGCAATTTATACTGACATAATATCAGTCTAAATATGTTTGTGACATTTAATTGATTAACATACGTAATTATTTTCACCTAGGAAACTGTACTTGGGGTATGAACTGCAGATTCATTCATCCAGGGGTTAATGACAAAGGAAACTATTCCCTCATCACAAAGCCAGACCCCTTCTCTCCAAATGGAGCACCTCCTGGAGGACCACATCCTCTCATGCCCAATAATCCTTGGGTATGTTGGACTTCATGTTTTTCTGCTTTAACTAGTGTTCCTATATGTGCAGCCTTGATTAAATGATGTGCAGTTGTAATGGGTAGAGACACCTCAAGGTGTGTATTCTGCCTGTGTTGACAGGAGGTTGACACTGTCAGTGCGGCACTAGCACCATCTGGTTGTTTGAAAAAAGACCTAGCCATTGCAAAAGTGTAATTGTACAACTGAGCTAATTTTTCCAAAAATGTGTACATGAGATTGTAATTTACCCAAAAAAATAAGTAATGGATCTTGTGACCGATGTGGCATGCAGTAGTTGTTGACCACTATTATTGCATTATTCATTAAGTGTGATTAAGTTCTTTACCTATTCTAGGCTGGACCAGCAGTGGAGGAACTCCCTCCACCTCCTCCACCTGTGGAGCCTCCTGTGGAAAGCGCCTGGGAGAGAGGACTCAGACATGCCAAAGAGGTAATGAAAGTTTGTTTTTTACACTGAAAAAGCATGCCTTACAAAGAGAAAGTGAAATTAGCATGTCATGTCAGTTGCAAGGAAATATGTGGTTACTAATAGAGAAAAAACATAAAAATTTAATAGTCTCTTTAGTATTAGTGAATCATTAAAATCTTTTTCCATTTTAATTTGCTCTTCAGGTACTGAAAAAGGCCACCATGAGGAAGGAGCAGGAGCCTGACTTTGAGGAGAAGCGTTTTAACGTGACCATTGGGGAGGATGAGCGGGAGTTTGACAAAGAGAATGACTTCTTCAGAGAGCGCAGCTACCGCATCATTAGAGAGTATGTCATTCCCCCCCACGTATTCTCAAAGCCACTGAAACAGAATATCAAAACAAAAAAAACAAAAAAAGCTTCATTTTTAGGGATCTACAATCAATTTGATTTTATGGATAACATATAACACCTTTTATTTTTCAGTGAGATGGACTTCCGAGATCCTATTTATGGGTAAGTCCCAAGTTACATAAAGTTATGATAATAAAATGACACAAATAATGAGATCAGTTATTAAAAGGGAAACATTTAGAATGATTGATCAATGTATTTTTTTTTTTTTACGTAAATTTAATTTCAAAACAATACAAACAAAAGCAGGCATCTATGCATTATCAGTTTTTCTCTATATTCAATACCAAACCCTTTTATCTTGGTTCCTAGTGTTGTTTATATCTGTGGGACCAATGTATAACATGCCAGTAAAACATGTTTTTTTTCTTTCTTTGCTGCTTTATTGTTGTAACAAAGTGAACGGTGTGTATTTAATCTGTATTTAATCTGTCTTTTCCAAATTTATTGCAGTGATCCTTATGCTGACCCTTACTATGACTATGAAATGGAAGCATTGTGGCGAGGTGGCCAGTATGAAAACTTCAGAGTGCAGTACACAGAAGCACCTCTGCCTTACCACTACAATGTGAGTAAAACAACTAACTACACTGTACACACATGTCTAACAATTTGCGAATTGTCACATTTTTCTATAGCGCTTTTCCACCTTCAAGGCACTCAAAGCGCTTTACAACAAGGAACCATTCACACACACCAGTGTACGCAAGGTGGGTTAAGTGTCTTGCCCAAGGACACAACAGCAGCATTCATCTGTGGGAGCTGGAATCACACCAGCCAACCTGTGGGTCAGTGGATCTGACTGCTAAACCTGTGTGATGTTTTATGTCGAGAGCTGGATTCGAACCGCCAACCTTCAGATGAGTGGGCGAATGCTCTACCAACTGAGCTGCTGCCGCCCCAACTGAGCTGCTGCCGCCCCAAAGTAGTTTTCTTGTATTTGTTTCTTTGCATGCATGGAGCAGAATATGTCCTGTATGTTTTTGATATGGGAATAACATTTGAACATGGTTAGTAGTCAAAGTAATGCATTCAAAGGGAGAATGCATTGCTTATTGATCATAGAGTAATCATGTGTTTTTTTTTGTTGCTGACAGGATCGTGAGCGTGAGCGCGACCTCCGAGAGCGTCCCCGGGACAGAGAGAGGGAGCGTGATCACCGGGAGAGGGAGCGGCGGCAGAGAGAGCGGGAGAGAGAGCGGGAGAGAGAGAGACTCCGACGCAAAGATGAGTGGGAGCGAGACCGTGTGAAGAGAGAGGACAAGGAGCGGCCAAGGCTGCGACCACCACGTGAGCCCCGTGACAAGAAAGATGACGACAAACTGAAGGGCCGCCCAGACCTTGGCGTACCTCCAAAGTAAGTATGACCACAGTCTGTGACTGTCAGTGCTTTTGATTTTAACATAAAACCCTTAATACAGGGGAGACTAGACCATGGCCAGGTGCCAAATGAGACCAACTTTTGTAGGTTCTCAGGTTTCCTGCTAAAATGATTCAGCCTTACTTTTTATCACTATGTCATAAACCATTAATAATCATGACATTGTGATACAGAACTGCCATTTATGTTTCAAGCCTTATTAATGGTGTGGTGGATCGACTCTAAATGCACCCATCTGAATCATTCACTGTTTTAATCATTGTTTAAAAATGCAGCACACTTTTTAAGTGTTCTCAGGAACTGATTTGTTTGGTCTGATACATTGCATGCTGTATCAGCGATGATTGAAATATTCATTATTTGACATATCTGCTTTACTGACAGCCATTTTCCTTTCTTTTAATAATTTTTAATAGCCACAAATGCTATCATCATTACTCACCTCTAAAAGAACAGATTAAAGTGATAAGCATATGCATACAAATAACTCTCCCATGTTATGTTCACAGTTATTTCATAATGTTTAATATTCATTAACCTAAGCACTTGCAATCTGTTGACTCAATCTAATCTTATTCCATGACCTCATGGGCATTGCCTGCATTGGTTTGTTTTCTTCCTCTTATTTGTAAAATTAAATAATTGCAGGTACTGAAATGGTATTTGTTGTGATTCTATTTTTAGCTCCGGTGAAGGATGTGTGTACATGCCAGTAGTTCTTTTTTTACTCACTTGGGGGAAATTACACCTTATGCAGACACACAGTATTTACACAAACTGTTTCTTCAGTTATAGTAGATTGTAGTATCAATATTTGACCATTTTCCTGTCTGGAGGTTGTTCACATAGGTTAATGCACCTATTGTCATTTCATTACAGCTTATTAGTTTTCTTGCAAAGCAAACAGAAAGATGCAGATGAAGGATGACTGATGACTGGAGTGTACTGGGATTATAAATTCGCACACTCTCGCTTCTCATTTCCCCTGCAAATATTTAGATGTCCAAGGTGTACAAACAATACTTGAATTTGCAGAGATCTGGAAACCCCCATGCATCATACTATTAAATATTTCATGCAATTTGATAATGTGCATGACTTTTTGTTGTTTTAAAAATAAAAGTAATAAATCATAACTTCATTAACAATCCTTGCATTGTGACACCCCATAACTGTTCTGGAAACCACCGTGCATGAAATGATTAAATCTCTCCACGCTGTCAATTTGATAATTTTGACTTGTACTTTGAAGACCTTAACAAGTTTTACATTCTCTGAATATTTGGACAAGGCTTATCTTCTGAATGTTCACAATATTTAGAATTCACTAGCAGAATCAGTTCTTTACTGATATATTTTAGATGCTGCTCTTGTCAATGCTAGCAGAATTTTTGTATTTTTTAGATTGTAGTAGGGAGTATTTTGGTATTTATTGTCAACTGATCAGCCATAGGCTATGTCATCTCAAAGTGTGAGTCCCCTTTGATAGCATGAAAATAATTTTACATTATTTAAAGGTAACTTCTGCCACCTGCTTGTCTCCATAGAGATGTTATTGCTTTGCAATATAATTCCCATAATTCCCTATGGAGAGAAACAGGTGATGCTGCCAGGCCAAGTTGGAGAGGCAGTCATGCAGCTTTAAGGTATTTTTGGATGATAAAAAGTTTAAAAACACATGCACTTACAAAGGGCTTAATGTCATACTGTGGAACATTCCAGGAAAAATACTAATATTTGAAAATACTCAAGAAGCAGACTCCTCACCAAAACATGTACATAATGCACCTTTTAATTAAGCATTATTTTTACATTGTGAATAATTCAACATAATGCTATAAATAAAATCCATATATGATTTGAACATTTCAAGTAATATCTGGGGATACCTTCTATCACAAAGACAATAAGACATTTTTTTCCCCCTTGATTTTAGCAGACCTATGGAGACTCCATTAAAGAAGGACTCAGTTCCCATGGCAATGAGGCGACCAGACGAGTGGAAGGACCCTTGGCGCAGGTCCAAATCTCCACGGAGACGTCCCAACATGGGCTCTCCACTGAGAGGCCGACGCAGGCATCGTCCTTCAGGTTCCTCTGTGTCTCTTTCACATTCATCCAGGTACAAAGTCAAAACCTCTTACCTAGCTGAAACTCTACCTTGTTTATTTCATTGTTTAAAAAAATTATAAAATGAATGCAGTATATTTTTTACCCTAAGTAAGCTTTGTATTTAAAAGCTTGCACACAGCCACAATATAACAGTTAATATAAACTTTACCCATGATAATTGAGAAAAAGGGTATGAATCTTTTGAACAGTACTCTCACAGACTGTACAGACATTTAAGGAGGGCACTTGCAGCCAGAACAGATTAATTGTGAAAGACAAATGACTTTAATTTAAATTTGGCTAGATTTTGAATCAGTTCAGTGTACACTGAAAAGTATTCATGATTTGATATTGTTACAGGTCATCATCACGATCCTCATCGTACACAGGCTCAGGCTCTTCTCGTTCTCGAAGCCGCTCCTCCTCCTTCAGCTCTTACACCAGTCATTCTTCTCAACACAGCTCTTTCAGCGGCAGTCGCTCCAGGTACCAACTAATTTCAGTTTTGAACCCAATTAAACGTGACTTCAACTGAGGCACATTTTAATATGATTGTGATTCAAAAATCTTTTTTCAGGTCCCGATCTTTCTCTTCGTCTCCATCTCGGAGTCCGGCACCACTAAAAAATTCAAAGAACAGACCAGTCCCTCCTCCAGGTCCAAAAGGGTAGGTGATGGTTTAGTGTAGGTTTACCATCTGCAACTTTAAGATGTGCTGACTATCAAATAAGAAAGAATTACGTAAATCATCATTAGTCCGTATCTGCATTTATTTTTAGTATCTATTTCTGCTGGTTGCATAGCTTGTTGTTTTAACTTGTCTGATAATATACAGGTGGGTTAATATAAGTTTTCTTCTTCCCACTACTTTTCAAGAAATGTGCTCTTCTCTTGTTTACAATATATGTAGTATGTATATGATTATTGTTTCTCTCTTGGCACAAACTTGAAATAAAAACAAATTAGTCAATAAATAATGTGAATATTCCTTTTGCCTCCCTAAGTGCTCCACTGAAGCCTGGCGCCATGCCCCCTCCTCGCAGGGACAAGCCTCCTGTAAAGAAAGCCCCCAGTCCTCCTCCACCTGGGCCCCAGGGCAGACCTCCCAAAGCCTCAGCAGAGCCAGCCAAACCCCCCATAACTCCCAGGGAGCCTCCAGGGGGTGGAGCCTCTGTGGGTGGAGCTGCTGCAGGACGACCTGCTCCTCCAAAAGAGCCCACAAAACCCCCCAACCCACGGGAAGGCCGACGTAAAGAGCGCCATGTTCCGCGAAGGTAACCATAGACTGTACAAAAAACTAAGGTGGTGTGATGTCGCCCATAGCGATGAGCTCTAGCCAAATGAAGCTTGTTGAGGCCGTGGGGTTATAGGGATGAATTTTGTATTTGCACTTAGGCAAGTATCATAGCAAACAAAGAGGCAATCAGGAGCGAGGCTGTTAAGGTAATGCCCCTTTCTGCCTACACCACAGGTTTAGTGGGGCAGATGTTTAGCAACACTGTCAATCAGACTTATTGCTCATGCTAGCAGGAGCGACCTTGGCTTGAAAGAGGGCAGCACATTTGTCTGTTATTAATGCTCATGTCATGATTTGTGGACAAAATAGCTAAATAAAAACACCAAGATCATACAGACTGGTTTAGTACGAACATTTTAAGACCAGAATGACAAGCCTGACAGCAACAGTTGCAGAGAGAAGGGCGACGGTTTTGTGATAGAAAGTAAACTGGACTGAAAAGTCGATGGAGTCAGAAGCGCCCATACTCACTCACTATTTGAAACACAGCAATTAGCACATTAACTGTGTCTACTTGTGTATACAACCTATGGTGCAAACAGGAATGAGGTCAATTGTGACAACTGACAGCATCAACATATCACCTATAGGCAATGCCATTATGGATACTTAATTTTACAACTTGTTCAAAATGTATAGTCAGGTGAGTGTCTGCTGTTTTACTGCGTGACACTACTGTAACCACTATGCAAAAATCTGAAATATGTTTCCTGTTTTTTGGCATTTGAATGTGTCTACATGGACAAAGCTCTAGGTCTATCCCAAAGGGGACAGCTGTAGTTGTGTGAGTTGTTTGCATGTAGCGATGCGCTGGGAAACCTTTGTAAAGGGCAGGGAAGAACAGTTTTTGCATTGAATGTGTGGGCAGGTTACACACTGGTCGTGTGTAAGAAAATATGAGCTCCCTTTGATCATTTGACTTTGACCTCTCTACTTGGGCTTTACAAATCATAATTTTGTGAAAACACATGTAACTTATAGTACCTACACAATCTTTGTTTTAAGAAGCTACCACAAACAAAATTGTAAGCTAGATAAGAAATCATGAAGATGTGTTTGCAACACTCACCACTCTCCTATTCTTAAGAATTACATTTTATTTTAATCCTGAGTTAAAGTAATTCATATATTCCAGCATATTAACACAGCAGCATTGCTCTCGGTCTTCTCCATACTGATAGCCTGTCTCATGCTAAATTTATATGTGTAGCACTCTGAATTGAGTTCTACACATTATCAATCCGGGATAGCTCTCACTGAAAGCATTCAGAAAACGCGGAATGTCATGAAAACTATTTGAATCGGATTGGTCAAAGTGTCACAACAGAACAAAGGAACAAACTGAAAAATCATACTTTAATCTAATCCAGCTGAGAGAAAAGCATGGGCCAAGATGGATCCTGAATTTGTGACGTCACAAATATTGCGAGAATCCATCATGATGTGCAAGGTCACCACACAGTGATTAAAAAATGAAGTTGTATTTCTGTGCTCTTAAGTTTATAGTTTAGTTCAAAGTATTTGAATCCAGTGCTGCCCCCAGAGCACTGATGCAAACAGGAGTGTCGCCGACACATAAACTACTCCTCAGAAAAATACAGATTAAGGCATTTTATGTTATACATTGTATCAAATGGTTGTATTCATGAGTCTAAGCTTTAAATCAAGATATAACCTGCCCAGTTGGAACATCACAAAGATTTCAGTTGACAGCTGATATATGCGCACATGTATTCAAGCCCTATATTTTATGTCCTAAATGTGTGTATTTGTCTGACTCTCCAGGAGGACAGTGAGTGGCAGTGCCAGTGGAAGTGGCAGCAGTTATAGCGGCTCAAGCTCCAGGTCTAGATCAACCTCAAACTCCCTCTCACGCTCCGGGTCCAGGAAGTCCAGGTATTCCCAAACACTTAAACTCAGCTGTAAATGTGTACTGTATTAAAACATCTGTGTGATTGACTGATGACTACTACCTCTTAATTGTAACAATTACTGTGACAAAATAAGATGTGAAAAAAATCTTGAGTAAATTGTGTGTGGTTCTGAGAGCATGTGTAGAAAGATTTTGTCATTATATTTAACTTTTGAATTGAAGTCATTATGGTCTGTTGTTTAAAATCTGTCCTGTTCTATATGGGCTTTGTCAGCTGTCAGCTGTGCATGTTAATTGAAATTGCTAGGCACATACAGTTAGAAATTAATATTTTTATACACTGGTAACAAAGGCCACTCTGGAATACCTCTCCACTGACTCCCACTTTCGCTTTAATCATTAACAAACCTCATGCGGCTGCTTCACCCCTAATGTTGGATCTTTAACCAAACAGCTCCCTAGTAATAAAAGGTTAATCTGGAAAATCAACATGAAGGATTTTAAAGTGACTTAAAATTGGGGATTTTAAATTGTAAATGAATATTAAATAGGGGCTTGAAAGAAATGGGAAGTTGCTTGAAATATTTGCAGTATTATGTTTTCCAATTCCAATTTTATTGATTTTCATAGTATGTGTTGCTTGGTTTCAGATGACATTACAGCATTCTGTTGTTAGGAAAGCTGTTACATCGTCAAAAATATCCCCGGAGTTGTTTCATTCACATATTTCAGTAACCCTTTTATTTTTATTTTGTCTGCATTTCACAAGCTCAAAATGCTCTTTTCCCCCTTGTGAGGTGTTGAAGCTGTTTTTAAGTTAACAGTTACCTTTTACCTACTTTCATTAGAGATTGGCAATTTCAAGATTGAAATCATCCAAATGATTCTAGTGAAGTATGGAGTTTAAAAAGACAATGGAGGACTCCTTGTATTACCATGTGATTTCACAAGGTGGAACAGTGTTTTTCAGTTTGACAGAAGAACTCAGATAACTCTAGATGTTTTTCTGATGAGGAAACAACATTAAAACATAGAAAATGGTGTAATATGGGCCCCTTAATACAGATAGAATGCAGCTAAAAATGAATATTTTATATATTCATAATACTATTCATAATATATAATATTTTTATATATACATTATTTTTAAAAAGCAGATTTTGTTTTAATATAGCATCTTGTAATGTTTAGTCAAGAATAGAAATGATCAGATTAAGGATTTGTGAATTCATCTTTTTGATATTTTGTATGGCGTTATCTATAGGAAAGTCTGTCTCTTTCCCCACACTGGGATTATTAGACATAGACAAATTTTATTGATCCTCAAGGGAAATTACTTGGACACAATAATGCACACATTATATTATAATAAGAAAGAGAAAATATATAAATGGTAATAATAAATTCTAAAAAAAAAATTAAAAATTTAGCAAAAATAGCAAGACACTTGTGTCAAATAAGGCATAATTATATAAAAGTATGTATATGCAAATCAAATAAAATGGAAATAAGTAATAAAATATCTCAGCAGTACACAATAGATCATAAGGAAAAACTGTCATTATGTGGTGAAACTAGTTACGTAGTTTTGATGTAGTAATAAGTGTACAACTACAGTACACTGATTTTAGATTTTCATTATCTGTAAGCCACATTTATCAAAATTCAAGAAGTAAAAGCTTGAAATATTTCACTGTGTAATGACTCTATATAATATATAGATTTGACTTTCTCAAGTAAGTAAAGGACTTTGTTAATACTACTGCTGTCTGCCTTGTGTTTGCAGATCATTGAGTGTGAGCAGTGTGAGCAGTGTGTCATCAGCCTCCTCCAGCAGCAGCTCCGTACGCAGCGCAGACTCTGATGACATGTATGCTGACCTGGCCAGCCCCGTATCCTCTGCCAGCTCCCGTTCCCCTTCACCAGGCCGCGCCCGCAAGGACAGAGGAGGGGCAAGAGACCGGCCGCCACACACCAGAGAGAAGGCCAGGGGTTAGCCAAAGTTCAAAGCTCATTCAAAGTTCATTTTGTGTGTTAAGTAAAAAAAGAAGCAATTGACAAGGACATTTAAATAATCTCATGTAGGAGTCTAACAAGACAATCATGAGGCCCATTGTTTGCTAGGAGACATGAAAAATAACTGCCTGACACTATCCCACAGAGGTGTTTCTGTGTCATGATGCAATATTACTGTGGCAGAAGACTGTCTGTTGCCTGTCCAGGCAGTACCACATTCTTTGACAAACCTTTGAAAGACGAGTAGGTCTGGAGCCGTATAGTGTCTTCCTGATTTCAGAGGGTATGATTGACGGGTGGATTAACCAGTCAGAAAGAAAAAGAGAGAAACAAAGGATTGAGTACGAATTCTTTCAGAATCAACAATCAAAGCACCAAGCTATTATTTATCTCAGGTAAAAGAAGTTATATATTTTGCTCTGAATGATATGAGAATTTTGGAGAGGAAATGTCTTCTGCATTTGAGAGACACATGCTACAAATTTGCAGCAGTGGTTTCATCATCTCAAGTTAAGACGGAGGTTTTTCATGCTCTGTGTTCCAAATCCAGACACTTTGGATTCGAACTGAATGTAGAAGGGACTCACTGGTCAGGCAACTAAGTATCAATGTAAATTCTGTGGACCTGAAAAACAAATACATAAAAGTGTAATGTCTCATTTTAGATCGACCTTCTAAGAAAGAGGAAGGCTTGAGGGAAGAGCGCAGGAAGGTGGATCAGGCTGGTGGTCCACCTCAAAGAGGTAACCCTGTGCTCAGGTCGGGTCCAGGGAACAGAGGTGTCCACCCTTCACCAGGCAGCACCGGACCTCCAACCAGTTATGGAGGATCGGGTTCCCACAAAGACATCAAACTGACTCTTCTCAATAAGGTTAATAGTCTTTTATACGTAAGCCTTACACAGATTGCATATAACCTGCATAAGTTTGTACATTGTTGGTTAAGGAAGACTTACTTTTTTCTAGTAGTTAGCACTAATCTATGACATACAAAGATCATTCACTGCAAACATGCCACTTAAAAAAAGAGGCTGGTCCATTCAGAACCATTTCACTGTGTTTTAACTTTTTTTTTTTTATTGCAGCATTTTAGTGTTTGCGTATGTGCCAGAGTTTCATTGCATCAAAAGCATATGAGGAAAATTACTTAAAGTTGTCATATTATATCTCTATCAACACATTAAACCCATTCCCAACACTGTGTTTAAAGACCACTTAAAAATCATGGGATAAAATTGTGAATTGATCAGATTATTGTAAATTGGTTCAAAGTGTCATCTCGTCTCAATCTCATGGACTCTATCTCGTGTCTTGTCACGTCAAAATTCTGTCTCATCCCACCCCTACTATTTAGACTTTTACTCAGTACCAGTTCTGATACCATGATAATGGTATAAACTTTTTTTAATTACCATGTGCCCTTATATCTGTGTTTCCTCAGTCTTCCAGGTTGGTTTCATGGTGGACAATTGAAAGTCATATACTAGTCTATGTGGTTTTATACTAGTTCTGATACAGCTCAAGATAATTCTAAAACTATTCAAGTTCATTTTTGTCCTGTGAATGAGACTCTTCTTTTAGCATTGATACTTTTTTCAAATTAAAAGTTTTAGTATTATTTTAGTATCTAATTTTTAATACATTTGACAACTCTACCCTGAGTAAGTGGAGTAAAAGCTCATAAAAGCTGTCCTTTAACTCTGCATGTGTGAGGAAGTTATTTTATTCAGTGTTTTTTTATTTGTTTTTTATGGATCAAATCTCACTTCCTGCTTAAAATGCAAATCTGTTCCTCGAACTCTCTTTCCCTCTCATTACGTCAGCATACATTTATTTTAATAAAGGTTGCAATATTTAAATAAGTAATTAATATGAAGTGTGCATATCTTTGTGTTCCTTATTTTGATACTATATACTGATCTTTATTTTCAACAACAGGCTGATAAAGGCAACAGGAAGAGGTACCTGCCTTCAGACAAAGAGAGGCCTGGGTCCCCTGCCAGCAAGAGGATGGCCCTGTCTCCAGACAGAGGTGATTAGTGAGCCTACAAAATTGTTAAAGTCACAATGAAAGACAAGTTAAAAATGTGCATGGCATTTTAAGAGATTATTATGTGATAACATGTATATTGGCATGTAAAGCTCTTGCTGTGCTTTCTGTTCCCCTGGTGTATAGGACGAGACAAGAGGGTTCCTAGCCGAGCTCCACCTTCTCCTCGAGCCGAACGACTCAAAGCCCCGGGAGCACGACCGGTGGGCCTACAGGGAGACAGGTCAGTGCTAAAGTACGTTTGTTTATATGAGTACAGATGAACAAGGATTTCAACAGCAGAAACATAATACTGTCTGCCCTATGGCAGATGTGTGTCTACACATTAGCAAGTGTCAGAAATTTGAAAAATTTAATATTGCAACTTTTGAGTGTTCTGTATGTTAATAAGTTTATTATTATTATATTTGTTCTACTTGAGTAAGCTAAAACTCCTCATCTGTCCCAGGAAACGTCCCATGTCTCCACCTCCAAAGGTGTCAGGAAAAGGACAAGGCCCTCCCTCTGCCAAATCCGCTGCGCCTGGCTCTGCCTCTACTGCTGGCGCAGGCTCCAGTAAACCCAGCAACACACTGTCTCGCCGTGAGGAGCTGCTCAAACAACTGAAGGCTGTTGAGGACGCCATTGCTCGCAAGCGAGCTAAGATGCCAACCAAATAGGCAGTGTGTCTCCTATCCTGCGTCAGTGTTATTCATGAAGCAGATGCCTGCCTCTTGTCGAACATGTAAAAAAAGTTCTCTGGTTCATGTGCAAAGGCCGATGCGTGAAATGATGGCAGGTTCGTTTGCCCCTCAGAGATCCCTTTGAGAGCAGGACATTGAAGTTTGGTTTGGGGCCATCTCCTGAACGGACAAACAAAAGACGGGGCTGATCACACTAGCCTCCTCTCATGCTGCCTCCCAGAAAACAAAACGATCAGACAGTCTCTCCTTCCTTTTTTTGGTCTTTTATTTTCACTGTTTCCCTGTCAGCATATTTTTACAGACTCATAATCATTATTTCTGCTTTGTCTTGGGCTTTTTGTAAGCATTGGTACCTAAAGTGTTGTCCTCACAATAATAGGAATTTAACCAATTCAGCTTATGAGTATACAGTTGTGATGTGTATGGCTTTCTTAAAAAAAGTGGCAGCAGTTTCTTTCTCATGAACCAGTGTTTTATTTGTTTTATTTTAGTTTGAGAAATGAGAGATGGACTTGTAGAAATAATAAATGTCATGCTTTTGTGATAAAAGCCTTCTAAATAAACTATTTTGATAAAGATAATGTGCCTTACCTGTTGTAAAACTAGGTAATTTGAGTTGTATGTATAGCAGGAAGAATTCAGTAGATATTGAGATACTACACCTCCACTTGAATTCTTATACCTTTACTTTTGGTGTAGGTCATGAGTAACATTCAGTAAAGAGCTGAAATTGTTTAAAGTTCACATACCTTATTTGCTGGTATGATGTCTAATGACTGCATCATGTTAATATTATGCAATCATTGACAGCAGTGATTCAATAGTTTTACACACTGCTTAACATCTGCTTAACACAATTAAAATAGGAAACTACAACTAAAAGGAAATCATAACGCTGGGACTTTCTATTACGTCTCATTTACTTTTATGTTTCCTGCTCCTAAAAGGTTACTTATGGAAAGAGATAGTGCTGCCATTTGTACACTTTGGCAAATGGTCAATTCTAAACAAAGAATAGCTTTTTCCTGTAGATATTCATATTGATTGATTTCACTGTAGAGTGGATTATGCTCTAGCAACATGGTTCTCAACAGGCTAAGAACTGAAACAAAACCTTTTTTGGGCTACATACTTCATTTATTTATGTATCAATTAAAAAAAACAACCTCTTTGATTGCCAGTTCTGATTTAACGTTACATGATATTGTTGCTCAACTGTTTCCTTGTGGGTGGATTTTGATATTTAATCTCGATGTGACTGGCAAACGTGATGAGCGTGTCTGTCACAGCAGCTCGCACAGTAACTTAATGATGGTGAGACTGCAGGTGTGGAAGGGTCAAGACCCTCTTGTATTAGTTGGAAAAGTGTCAACATTCATTTCAACATTTAACAGCTGTCTGCTGATCAGATGTGGTTCCACTGGACTGTACAGAACTCTTCAAAAGTTGACAGTTCAGTGAGGACTTCCCTATGACGTACAACTGTGTGAATATTAACCTTTCAGGCTTCCCTTTCACTTCTAACACATGAAAGAAATGGCATTAATAACCATTTACACATACAGCAATAAAACAGGAGATTCATCCATCTCTGTCCTCCTCAAAATATAAAACAAATACAATTTTAACCCTATAAATGCCAGGAAACTCTGATTTTGTATGTACTGCAAAAACAGGCATGTAAAGGGGTATATTCTGTTACTTCTAATGGAGGGGCCTTCGTATGCATTCTTACTCTGAATGTGGTCACATCTCCACAGATCTGACCTTTAAAAAAATAAAGTTGAACTATAACAATGGAGTGTTTGGCTATCTGGCTCAAACACTGAGGAGTTTTGTTTTTTGAGCTCAGTTTTTAACATTTTAACATCATACCATGACATTTTAACCAACTAATAAGCGCAGCATGTGCAGGTCAAAAGACACAAGTAAGGGACTGTTGGATTTTCTGAAAGGAGTTGCTTGTCTTCCCGTATCCATGGAGACCGTGCAAGATGCTAGCTAAACAGCTAACTCTGGAGATCACAATGGTCATTTAAGATGATACAGGGTTTTTACACCATATGTGGCAGCAAATGTGGCAGAAGACCTTCAGAGGAGATACTTACAGAGGAATAAACCAATTACATCACCATGAACCAACATCACATTGGTGTGATGCTGCAGAACACAGAGGAGAGACACTTTTGACTCTTCCATGGGATCTGCGGACCCTACCTGACCAGTCCTCCTGATAAACTGAGGTAAATTTTGACTGAGACACAAAGGCCACTTACACACGCAGTGTAAATGTTGCAGCAACAAAACTTGAATTCCCCTGAGATCAATAAAGTCTCTCTTTAACTTCACCTTGTGGTGTCATCTGCTTGTTGTCGTACACCTTTAAAAACATTTTCACCAACTTTGTTAGTTACGGTAAGGTAGATCTTTATATTTAATTTGGCCAAAATAATTAAAATAGTGGTTCACTGAAGTAAACAAAATGTCATATGGGAAGCCTGAGGGATAACCCAGTGACAACAAATATACCTCACACGTCAGCAAGCTCATATTTCCTACTTCCTACAAGAACTACATTACTATAATAGTACTGTGTACACAAAATGCCCTGGTATTTGGGCTATTGTTAAAAAGTAAACCAAAAACAAATAAATCTATAGATCTGACTGAGACAAACTTGATTGATCCACAAGGGAAATTACTTGGAAAACTTAGCTCAAACGTTACAATGTACAAATAGTCATTTATAACAAATAGAACTGGATCTGATCCCTGTGACAATATGCTATTTTGCTAAGATTGTTGATTTGTGATTCAGTGCAGCTCTATACTCAAACACCAACATTCACACGGGCCTCCTGTCCAAGTACAAACCAGGCCCAGCCCTGTTTACGAGTGGATTTCAGATGTGATGATGTCATACTTCCAAATGGGCAGCAAGAGCCAGTTTTTCATTGTACTTTACCATGAAATATCAGAAAGGTAAATTCCCAAATATGGGACCTGATCATTTCTATTACTGACTAGACCCAAGACCATTGCATCCCCATCTGTAATAAATAATACTGAATGTTGTTATATAATCTGAAACTCAGCAATAGCTTCTGAGGAGATCAGGCTTGGACAACAAGGTTTGGTCTAAATAGCAGTGGTGGAAGGTAATGAAGCACAAAAGTAAAAGTACACTACTTAAGTACATTTTTTTAGGCATATATACTTTACTTAAGTGCATTTTACAGTGGCTACTTTTTACTTTTACTTCACTACATTTGAGAGCATATATCTGAATTTTCTACTCCATTACTTTTTAGATCTGGACTGAAAAGTAAAAAGTAAGTAAAAAGTTTCTTTATGGTTTGAGACCTGCTGAAAAGGCTGACTTATTTTTAGCACATTTAACCTGAGTTAACAGCCCAACTTTGAGCAAACCAAATACACAAAAACACAAAACAGCTAGAAAAATGAACAAATCAATTGAATCACTTAAAATTCACTGAACTCATGATCAAAATCATTATATTTGATCCTTTAATTGGTCTGCTCTGCAAAATACTTTTGCTTTTTACTCTTTAAGTACATTTAAACTGGTACCTTTTTCATGTGATACTTTCACTTTTACTTGAGTAATCTTTTGCCTCTGTATCTGTACTTTTACTAAGTAACAAAACTGAGTACTTCATTCACCACTGCTAAATAGTAGTAATAGTAGTAATAATAGAGTTAGACTTGAGAAACTGTGATACAGCCATATGATTATAGAATGATTGAAACAATGAATGTAGCTGTGTTAGGAAGAGGACACAAAAGTTTTGTGTTCCATGCCCCTGCATGCATACTAATGTTGTGTCCATGAGATAATTACTTGCCCACCTTAGATTTAGAAAATATAAAGACCTACCAAGCAGAAATAACTTAGGTTAGGATAACTTCAATGCCCTTTAAATTAAATAGAATAAGTTAAATGACCACCAATAATAAATGTTTCATATTATTTAACTTCTCTCGCATCAAACAGATTGTATGATACATGACCCTGAAATAAAACTACACAGGGTTTATTTGCCCCAAACCTGCTGCAGTCCACTTAAGATCAAGTAGTTTACACAGACGTTACTGCCTTCTATTAACTTGACTTCCTCTTTCAAAACTCCATTCTTGTGACTTCACTTTGCTTGTGTGCATGGGAATTGGTCTGTTATTACCAAAGGTTGCATCATCCAAGAATAACAAAAGCTAGGCGTTTTTGCTAGGCCTTATGTAAGTGTATAGGGAGCAGCCTCAGTCACCTGATCTCATTTGGTTCATCTGAACAAAAAGCAACTTCTGCTTCACCTGGACGAGCCCAGAGCTAAAAATAACTGCACAGGCTACCTGTGCTATTTTAAGCCCTAATGGCGCAGGGAGTTCTATCTGCAATAAACCATTGTGAACCGCCTTTAGCTCTGCTTCACCTGGACCAGCCCAGAGCTAAAAATAGCTGCACAGGCTTCCTATGCTATTTTAGGCCCTTATGTCGCTGCAACGTCTACTTGTATCAGTCATCGTGTTTGACTTCTGCCCAGGTGATGCAATACACGCACTAATGTAGGAATTCTCATGTACATTTTTACACTCGCCCCAAAGAGAATATGATTCCCTGTATCAATATACTACATATACCTAAAGTTAAGAAGCTTCAACTTAACTTCTTCATTTAAAAAATTACTACAAAAATATTGAATGAATAATCTGCAGAAGTGTAAAGAAGCAGTAGGCTATTAATGCATTATAGCTGCATTTGGCGTTCAGGCCATAGTTTGGACACCACCGAAAGATAATTAATTACATGAATTAATCTTTGGATTTATATAGCAGCTTTCGAGGCACTCAAAGTGCTTTAAAGTGCATTATTCATTCACTTCATACCCGGTAGTGGTAAGATACTATTGTAGCCACAGCTGCCCTGGGGCAAACTGAACAAATTGCTCTCCATCATGGACACTCACCCTTATATAACAGATACTACTCCCTACAACAGTACAACAACTCGCCCTTACGTAACAGATAAGCCTGTGTTTCTGTCAATCACCATATCATCTTTGCACTGTTTCTCCTTATGATCTCTTGTATATAACTGTGATATACTGTATGTGTACTACTACTTTTTAGTTTGTTTTTTTTTTTTTACATATACATTTGCATGATTATGCTTTTTTTTTTTTTACACCAGTCCCTACTGTTCTCAGCTTCTGAGATCTGACTAGATCACGCGTGAGTAAGGTGGTTTGGCCACAAAGTTAAACAAGCTGATACACTATTTGACCTAGGCTATTTCTGCATGGAAGAGCTGGTAATGTTGAAAGTCTGGTGGTTGCCATGTTTGGTTAGTCTTTGTGACTGACTGGCTGGCACACTTTGCAGTTTGTAAACTACTTTTTTCACTTAATATTTGGGAATTTTGACCAACTATGAAGTGCAGCTTGTGCATTTTAAAGGGCCGACATTAAGGACAATTGGATTGTGTGATTTGAGCAGATTGATTTTCCTTTGTCCATGGCGACACTGCTATGGTAGCCAGCTAGCTCTGAAATGCTACAGATTTTCTACACCGGGGTCTCCAACCCATAACTCAAGAGCCACCAGTAGTGCTCTCTCTCTCTCTCCTTCAAGTAGCTCGCCAAAGAATTTCTGAATTATAAGTTTTGTGCTGAATAACTAAAATTTGATGAATAGAATGACTATTAAAATTGTAAATATATTATGTTCATGCCTAACTTTCCTTTCTGCACTAATAAATGGATAATGGTGTATGTTTTATAGGCCTCTAACTGTCCTGATCTAAGGCCATGGCTTTCATAATTACTCCATTTCTTGTGACCGTTAAAATGAGTAGCGCTCTCTCATTTTGTTTTGTAAAGGATCTCACAGGAGGAGAAAAGGTTGGAGACCCTTGTTCTACACCAAATATGGTAGAAGTTCCAGAGGAAAACTTGTTTCATCTCTTCACCAACCAAAACAACAGAGTGGAGAGGTCTTGACAAGGCTTTCTTGTTGTGTGTCCACACTTCGTCTGGTTCCCCCTGGAGGCTGCTGTGGTCAGATGTGTTCTCAGTAATCTATTGCTGCTTTGCTTCACGCGGGGTGCTCTACATGTATGTGTATGGCGGAATGTTCAGCAGTTACCATGGTGACATAATGCACACATTTAAAAAAAAAATAGATAAGAAAAAATAAATAAAACAATTGAAGGAAACCTGTGATAAATATGATTGTTCATGGTTCTGTTTAGGAATTTGATTTTTAACTTACTGAAAAACTTGAATAATGCTAGCGTGTGACTGTAATGTTATTTGAGAGGGACTTGTTAACAGTAAAAAAAAATAATCTCACCTAGTTCCAACTCAGTCAAGTTCGTTCTTTCTGGACAGACTGTTAAAATGAAGCTAGATTAAAGTCTAACGAGCCTCAGACAAAAAATGGCCGCTGTTTGCATCACACCCCAGGGAAAGCTCATGACATCAGATGCAGGTATCAATTGCGAGATTTTGGAGTGGATTACTTTCACCTGCGGGTGTGGTTCTTGGGCACTCCAGTGAGTGCGTGGAGTGGATGCTGCTGTGCTCTGTGCGGGACATTGACACATAGAAACATAGACACACACCTGCCTCAGGTGACGACACCGCGGACTCTTTGCCTCGGGCAGAGCGTGTGGGCGTGTGCGCGCGAACAGCTGTGCGTGTGCCGGCGCGCTCTTTGAAAGGAACTAAGTGATGTTTCCATTTCCTTGTGTGGACGTTTTTTCCCGAGCTTTGTGATAAATAGAGCAGCAAAAAGGCAGAAGAGCACAGCAGACTCACAGAGAATAGACAGACGGAGACGCGTTAAGGCAACAGAATGGAGCTCAAAACAGTAAGTGGCAGTTTACCATATTCGAAAAATGGTTGACACGGCTTATCTATTAAATCACACAAGAAATCGATTATTAGAAGTCTTTAGAAATTAAGATAATGCGTAGGTTTAAGGATTCCGGATTAATTTTAATTTATGATTTCTCAAAGTTAGTGTGACGGAATGAAAACAAAATGCACGCATTAAAGCAACTACATTACAAAGTGGCCTAACAATATTTGGACTGATTCATTTTCTTGTTATTGCACAAATTATTCTTATTATATTAGTATTATTCATAGCTATTAATAGCCAACTTGTTATATTTTGAAATGTAAAATTTGTCCCAATTCCTGTTTTTAATATCAACTAAAGAAATTAATTGTATTGTTATTTGGCTTTAATATTCAAGTTATTGGTTACTTAAACTTTTAAAAGATATTAACTTGATTCTTCCATGTTTTGTCTATAGGTCCTGGTATTTCTTCTGAGCCTTGCAGTGTCTGTGTGTACACATCCTTGCTATGATGAACAAGACTTGGAAAAGACAGCCAGAAAAAAGCTTCAGAGCCATTATCACCAGCCTGCCTTCCCCACCCAGGCCTCAAATGCACCCCTCAGATGCCCCCTGGATCTGTACCAGAAGGATGAGTCTCTAAAGGGTCGCTCCATCTCCCCCTGGACCTATGTGTAAGTGCCCATCATAATATAATTATAATTAAATTGTGTGTATGTATGTATGTATGTATGTATGTGTGTGTATATGTATGTATATATATATATATATATATATATATATATATATATATATATATATATATATATATATATACATATATATACACACACACACACACACACACATACATACACATATATATACACATATATATATATACACACACATATATATATATATAGATATACATATACATTATATATACATACATACATACATATATATATATACATATATATATATATATATATACATATATATATATATATAAACAGAAAATAACAATAAGATTGCTAGGATTTGTAGCCTTCTATAAATCAAAGCAGACTTTAAGACTAAAGATACGCATCTGATACAAAAATGCTGCTTAACTGCTGTACAAAATAAACAGTAGTAGAAATATTACTGTACTCTCTGTATCCTCGTGACGCACTTAAATAATCCACGCCCTCTGAAATAGGGAAAACCCCTCGTAGGTCTGGCTATGGCAGTGTTTTTTATCAGCCTGTATTATGGAAGTTTTTTGTTGACACATGATCACATAATAAAACAAAAACAAACATGCAAACAGCGACCTGTTTTAAAAAACAGAAATTTGACACCTGATGACAGCGAGGAACTATTTAGAATCAGTTCCATAAAAAATTACAAGAGATAATGGAAAAATTCATTTTTCATTAGTTTGTAGTATATGCAGTATCTAGCCTGAAATCGTATATAGCAGTGTAAGCATAATGACCGTTGAAAAATATCTGATGTCCTTGTTTTTTTTTTTAGGCAGAGAGAGATGCCTGAGCACTTCCCCTCCACATTTTATGAGGCGCGCTGTCTGTGTCGCGGCTGCATCCTCTTAAATGATGAGGACGAGCCTTATGAGAGCAACAGCCACAACTCTGCTCCTGTGATCCAGAACCGCGTGTTTCTGAGGAGGGACCTGTGTGAAGGCTCCAATGGAGATAGGAGGAAATACCGCCTGATACCAGAGAATGTTAATGTGACTGTAGCGTGCACTTGTGTACGTCCATTATATTAATGGACATACAACCACTGCTAAGTTAGCAGCTGCTCAATCTGTTGTGTTTGTTTTAAAATGCACTTAGTTCTCAAGTCCTGAAGTGTCAGCTTTGACAAGTCTTCTAACACACACTACAAATTAATAAGTCAACATTTTACACACACAGAGACACACACACAGACACAGAGACACAGACACACACACACACACACACACACCCTCGTCAGCTGACACCCAGGGTAAAGTGAAGTTTTAACTGACAGTCTATTATCTGACAGCCTGACAGGTTCAGGTTGTGACTATGCTGTTTGTAGGTGTTAAATGTTTTCACATTGAAAACATTATCAATGAAAGCTACTTTTATTATCTACTATTAACTACGATCACTAATATTTAACATTTTAACTTTAATATTATTTTATTTAATACTATATATTTATTTGTTTTTATTATAATTGTAAGTCTTTGACTTCACAGTTGAGCTTCTATGAAGCTTAATAAAAAAATGTGTTTGACTTAAAATGTGTGGATTGTTTCAACACGTTTCTCCACTTTCATTAGCTTATGTACGCAGTTAATGCTGCAACAAGTTCAGTCACATACAAGCTCTTTGGTGCGATCGGCCTAATCACACATCTGCTGCCATCTAGTGGTTGACTAAAGCACTTCTTATTTGTTTTTATTATGAAACTTCCTCAGTCACTATGCCAAAGAGATTTGGCTACCAAATTATTTACATGTAAATACATTTACAGTATTACCAACATATTTACTGTAGAAAAATATTCAGAAATTTTAACTATGCTGCTCTGGAGTGAAAAAGTCCATTCAGTAAATGTTTTTAATTATTTTTTTTTTTGAACAAGATCATTATGTAGCAAACTTTTTCTGAAGAACTGGTGCGGGCAGCTGAGCCATGATATCCAACAAGGGACGCTCCACTATCACCAGAGACTGGTCCTCCAATGAGATTACACTCAGCACATCCTTTGGACACAAATACATTTTTACCATACATGTAACTGAGATGATAGACAATTGAACGATTGAGAGATTGAGATTGACAGGCGTTTACCTGAAAACCTTTACAGATCTTAAATGCGTGGCTGTGTCGAACTCTCTCA